CCTGCTGAAAATCAACTCTTCAGTCACCTGTCTTGCTACAGACTTACTGACAGACATGTTCTATCAGTTAATAGCAACTATATTGGACTAGCAAGTTACACACGCTTTGCCAACACCAAAAGCAAATACATTAGAGCCATAGTGACCCTGAGATTTATGTCCATGTTCCTGTAGGTTAAATATCATGATGCTATGATGCAGTATCAACATGAGAACATGTTCCTTTTTATAAAGCCAAGAAACACGTGAAACGATGCTGCTTCAGCTCAGATGAGCACACTGGCATTGGAAATCTGCTAGGTCCAGCTAATGATGTCCTCAGTCTCTGGTTTGGAATAAGCACGCTAACCTTGGTTTACATTTTTATGGTGTTTTTGCTGGTGAAAGTCCCTTGTGGCATCATCTAAAGACAGTAACAGCTATAAAAACAGCAAACACTATTCATGTTTAACCATTTACTGAAAAACATACTTTAAAAAAGGTAGGGAGACTTTTCAGAGGTATGAATAGGAGGTAGACACCATCACTTTAAGGTGTTTTGAAGGCCATTCATAATCTCCCTTAATACTTAATAAGTGGCACTTGAATAATTATTAACTTGTTTAAATTCCAAAATTATGATAACGGTAAAATGATTATGGTCTCTGGGTTATACCTAAAGATCATAAAGTCAGAAAGTTCAGAGAGAGAGAGGTACATGAACATAGATAAGCACCTGTGAAAACACTTCTAGAAGGATAAGAACAATTGCTTGTGTTTCACTTGGGTGGAAACAGCACAGAAGCATTACTGTTAGTTCCCCATGCATCTCGCATCGATGACAGAAGGTCAGGAAAAAATCCCCAGTACCTATAAGCATCTCCACTGCTCTATCATAACTAACCTGTTTTTCTGCATCGCTGAAACACTACTGAGTCTCAAACACAAGGCAACTTTGTCAGGTCTAGTCCACACCCAAGAAAAACAAAATACTCCAAGAGAAGAGACAACACATACAATACTATCACACAGTAAAGAACAGTTCAAATTTCAAGTTGGAGTCGCTATAAATAAGTGATCTTTAAAAAGTCTGAAATAGTAACTTACTTTTGAACAAATCCTGTGCTGTGTAAAACTGGAAATATGTTTGATAAACACTGTACCTCAAAATAAATTAAAAAAAAAAAAAAGAGAGAGACTGCCAGGAAAAAAAAAGTGAGAAGTCTCTAAAAACCCTTAAATAATATTATCTTATTTTACTAATAACAACAGTAAGTTTACTTCTGTCTTATTCTCACGTACCTTTCCTTTTAATGGCCTACGGCTTACTGTTCACAAATTCAAAAAATATTTGTAAATACACAAAAATAAAGCTTAAGAGCACACAATATAAAAAATGTTCCTTTTCAAAAGCATTACACTACTATTATTGAAAAGTGCACTACAATTAATCTGCAGGTCAGAGATGCTTTGGTCATGGACGTAACTTCCACCATGAACTCCTCAACAAAGTTCTCCATCTTCTTAATTAAATGAGAAATCTTTCATCCACGAGGGTTTTGGATGCCAAATTCTTCTGCCCAAGTGTACTACGAATAAACCTAAATATCTAAGAACATTTTAGAAAAAATGTATTAATGAAGAAATACTTAAACCAGAAGGTTTCAGTAACTAACACAAAGTAGTAACTTCATATTATCTTTAAATTGTAAATAACATGAGTGAATTAGGTGCTTAACTCCTTTCAGTGTTTTTGAAACATTTTTGAATCTCTATCCACCCTGAAATATGATAAAATTATGTGTGATTAATCTCAACAGATATTTGTGTTTTCTATTGAAAGTTATTTGTAGCCTCATTATTCATGACAGGCATATGAATAAAAGTAATTTCTCACAAGCCTTTCTGACAAAAAATCACATAAAAAGAACTATTTTATAAGCTCTCAGTCTAGTCCTCTGTCACCGCACTCTGCTGACTTACTGCTTTAATTATGTAGATAACTGTATAAACTTCTACACTAACTCAGGGTTTTAAAATATGACTTTGTTCTTAAATTGAGATTTACCTCTTGTTGCAAATATGTTAGAATAGCTGCTAAAACAAAACTTTGGGAAGCCAGATCCACAACGGAGAAAAACAGGATGTCAAAGATGAGCAGCGTTGTCTCATTGCCGTAATAGAGAACATCACTGAAAGACTGTCCTTCATCTGGAGAAAGAAGATAATTGTGGAAAAAATATTACTTCTGTGAAGTGCAAGTTGGTGGAGTTCATCAGCACACTGAGAAAGCTGGTAAGAAAACAGGAAAGTCAGAGTGAAAATTAGTTGTGGCACTCTATGGTAGTTATGTCAGTCTATTTAAGCAAAATAATTAGAACCCTTTCACTTATCAAATGGCTTCATACTGACGGAACACAGAAGTGACACATGCAACTTTATTCTCTCATGAAATCTCAGCTGGGTTGTTTAGAAAAGGCTGCTTTGAACAAGAAGCAGCAGATGTAACTTCCTTGTCACTGAAATTTTTAGCAAGTGTTAACTCTGTCCCCTACTCAACAGAAGAAGAAAAACATATGCTTGAAGCCTTACTTCAGAGCTTGACATTACCTTTGTTCACTGATTAACAGTTTCACAGAAAAATGGGCCTTTTTCATAGCCAAAGTAGTCTAGACCCCTCACCCACTCCTCTATCAAAAATCACCACTTTCAAAAGAGAAAGGAACTCTTCTCCCTTAAATTTTCAGAAAAATGTCTAGTGCAAGTTTTATTGGAAACTGCATATTTTTATTATAAACTGTATATGTACTGCCATGAAATCCTGATCTGTATTTAGAACTCTGGGAACTGTGGCAGTCTAAACCATCAAACAATATATTTATATCAATGTTTATGATTACAAACTTTGAAACAATGGCAGTCAAAAGACCAAAGCTTTGTTGACTAATGCACAATTTGGAGACATCACATCGTGCTTATACACTTAATTCTAACTCAGACATTGCATACCTGACAATATTTATGGCTGAGGAGACCTGGGGTTTAGAACAGGGTTTTAGAATGACTGATAAAGGAAACCATATCCTGGGCTGCATCCAAAGGAGCATGACCAGCAGGTCAAAGTAGGTGATTCTGCCCCTCTGCTCTGGTGAGACCCCACCTGGAGTAACTGCATCCAGCTCTGGCGCCCTTAGCACAGGAAAGATACAGAGCTGTTGGAGCAGGTCCAGAAGAGGGCCACAGAAATGATCAGAGGGCTGGAGCACCTCTCCTATCAGGAAAGGCTGAGAGAGTTTGGCTTGCTTAGCCTGGAGAAGAGAAGGCTCCAGAGAGACCTTAGAGTAGCTTCCAGTGCCTAAAGGGAGCTTATACAAAAGATGGGGACAGTCTAAGGGGGCCTATAGTAATAGGACAAGGGGTAATGGTTTTAAACTGAAAGAGAGGAGATTTAGACCAGAAATAAGGAAGAATTTGTTTTTACAATGAGGGTGGTGAAATCCTGGCACAGATTGCCCAGAGACGTGGTAGATGACCCATCTCTGGAAACATTCAAGCTCAGGGGCTCTGAGCAACCTGATCTAGTTGTAGATGTCCCTACTCACTGTAGAGGCCTGGACTTGGTGACCTTTAGACATCCCTTCCAACCCAGCCTTTTCTATGATTTTGCAAGATGTGGAATCAGCGACTGAGGCTGAAGCAAGTCCTAGTTACAAGGCAGATACTGGCCATCTGGCAACATTTATTACTAAAGATAGTGTTTTACTATGACAGGGAAGGAGAGCCCAAGCCATTAGTGAATTAGATACAGCTCAGACAACCAAACTGACCAAAAATACCAGATGACAACCATGGCTAGTTGGAAAGCATGTGCTGCATTACTGGTTATGCAGCAAGGTTTGAGATTCAAATTAGGCTTCAGCTTTTGCAGCTCCAGGGTCATAAAGCAAGAAAAGCTCTGCACAGCTCAGTGATGTAATCTGCAGATGCTGTTATTTAAGAATAATGACATATTTAGGATGTATAATAGTTATCTGGTAATACCTATGAATTGGATTACAGTTCTGATAGGTTTAGAATTTATAAATTCTAAATAACAGTGAGGCAGGAGAGCCACGTACTTGAGGGTCTCAAAATGAAGGCTTGCATCATCTTAGATCACTAGCTAATGTTTAGTTTTCATGCAGGTGATGGCCATATTTATGGTTAGGGGTAGAACCAGGGTCTGAACTGAGGTTTTCAAAGATAATTTCTGATGGCTTCTGTACAGCTCACAGCTCAGGAACAGAGGAAGCAGACTGGTATCAGGCCTGAGTTTACAGCTCCTATTTCACTGTGGTGTGGATACTGGTCCCCAGACCACATCTGTTTGTTAACAGAAGACCAGGATTCTGGGTTTCAGAACCTGAAGGAAGTTGAGGAAGTGGAGGACCTAACACTGGATGGCGATTCCAGTCACGCAGGTACTGGTCACCTGGCAGTAATTATTAATAAGTTAAGGTTTTTAGAGCCTTGGTGTTCCACAGCATCAATCTTCCAGGGGTTCTGATTTAGGAACCTAGGTTGAAGGTTGAGATATGGTCAAGAACTTTCACTAAAGCTATTTTTAACACATGTACTGGTCACTTGGCAATCCTTACGGCTAGGTTTAGCATGGGGCTGGGATTCAGGATGTTGCATTGGAGAACCCAGGTGTGACTGATTTTGCATAGCTCGAGGGACCAGAATCAGAACTGGTGTCATCCCTGTTTCTGCTGGAATACTAATTTTTGCTGTAAGCATTGGCAATACTTAAAAGCTTCGAAATAAAATATTCAAGAACTCAAATACTTAGTGGAGTCTGCAAAGATGAGTGGTCTATTGACATCAAGTATTCCATTAAAACGTCTTCACTGTGATCAATATCCTCTTCTGTACTTTTGGTTGTTTCATAAGAAATTTGATACTAGATATTAAGAAATATCATGAAGCTATTTAAATATTGTGGGTCTTCTTGCCATTTACAAGGTGCATGTTGGATCCAGATAGCAAGTCAAAAGGAGCACTTCATAAACATGTGCCCATCTCTACAGCTTATCTTTTTAGCTGCCTAAAAGAAGTCATTGCAGTTAAGCTACTAAATATAAATAGGGTTTCCGTAACGTGGAGAACTTCTCTTCAGTCCCTCCCTTACAAGCGATCATTTAATGACCCCTCCTGCTGCAAAGTCCAGTTCATATTGTAAATCCTGGGAAAGAAGTCTACACAGAAGCCTACATACTTAAAACAGTACAGATACTGAGTCACAAATCTGTTTACCACTGTAAAAAAGACTCTTCTCTATTGGTTCCATGAACTCCATGCCAAGAATCCGCTCAAACAGCAATTTATCTTTAACAATGTAATCCATTTCTTTATGAGCCTATAAAAAAAAAGAAAAACAATACTTGCTGTTGAATGACTTCAAAGAAAACGTACTTGTTACAAAGTGAAGTACAGTTTCATTTTCTGAGGGAAAAAAGCACTGGTCTATTCAAAGACAAAAATAAGTACATAACAAAAAAGGATTTATCATTTTTAATAACAGACTGTACTGTTGCACAGTACTCCAATTATTTCTTTTGAATGAAGCACTGTTCCAGTCCTTAACAACAAGTCCTTAAGCACATATGCTTAAAGAGAAATTTCAGTCTTTCAGATTTACAATATTTAGTCTTTTTCCTTAATATAGAAGTGTCAAAATACATACGTGATTAATAAAAGAACTGAGAAATTTGTTCATGGTGTTGTATGCCCTTGTGCTTTGTTCGAAAGTATTTGCAGATGAGTCCAAAAGTCTAGCAGGACCACGTCTCTGAAATACAACATGTCCGTGACTTCAGTAGAAAAATTACATATTTTAAATAACATTTAGAAAACACAAGTATCTCACTTACTCTTGTTAGGGTTTCATGAATCCTGTCATAGTGCAGTCGCATTTTTCTTGAAATGGACATCTGAAATGTCTGGCCATCTGTGTTTGGTAACAAACCTCTCTGACTACACAGATTTTCCTATACAATTAAAGCAATTGTAAATTACTAAAACATTATTTGTGTCATTCATAGACCCTCAAAAATCAAAACCTTTTCATTTCCTCTCTTTCAAGTACACACTGAATCGACTGCAGTCTCGGTTCTATTTGAGCCGTATTTTCTTAGGACATGAAATCCTGACCCCTGCTGTCACAAACTCATATTCCCCTTTTCACATGTGTGCAGTTCATTACCTTCTAATACATCTTTTGTCATTCACTCTGAAGCCTTTTCTTTTATATTTATCATTTATTCCATACTTGTCCTGCCTTTTCTGTGCTTTGGATTCATGACTTTTTCCATATGCATTTCAAGTCACATTTAATAAATTTCAACCCCCGCAAGAAAACAGAAAATTAGATATCTCCACAGGGAAAAACCTTCTTTTCCAAAATTATATTGAATTAAGCAGTTAGGAGAAAAATTACAGGGAAACACCTATAAAAATTATATTATTAAAGAGATTCCTGTATATTTCAATGTTTAAAATTTAATTTTCGCATGGTTATGTTTTTTTCTGTCCATTTATTACTGAAATAGCAATATCCTTTGTGTAAGGTACTTTCTTCCTACTTGTCCCTACAAAGATGCAAGATGTCATGAAATTTAATGCAAACTGCTCCAATCTTGTATGAGCCATTTTACATTTGCTTGACCTCACAGCAAAGGTACAACATATGAAAAACTAGAAAAAATACTTATTAAAATTAATTTCTGTACAGAGTAAGTTATATCACCATAAGATAAAAGATGGAAAAAAAGAATTTCTTGCAAGAGTTAATGTTTCTTTATTAGGAAAGCTGCATGCTTATGAAAAGTTTCAATATCAAGAAGAAGGTTCTTAAATTTTTAGAAGATGAAAGGCTTTTTAGATAAACAGAAATTATCTATCTATGAAATATGAAGAAGTATCAGAGAAGAAGAGATAGTAAAGAGCTAGTTTAAAGAACTATTGAGTCTTACATATACACACCAATAGGTGGTATCTTTTAAGTATCAGAATGCAAAGGTGTGGGGGATTTTTATAAAATAAATAATTAGAGCAGGTGTAAACTTCAGTACTTTTACTTACTGCTTCTCTCTTTAGGTTCCTATTCATTTCTTCCATATTGGTATCTGCATGTCCATGCACAGAGCGACCATGGATATAATAACCAAAGCAGCTGTGTGACAAGAGAAACACTGAAATCTAAAAGAGATGGGGGAAAAGAAGTATAGTTTAATTAAAAATTATAATTTTATTTTCAAATGTTTGAATTCCCAGTGGAGACCAGCAAGACCTTCTACAAGTACCAAGTAGGCAGGTACCAAAATAATATGGCAGAAAAAGATTTAATAATTCTTCTACTGATTAGTTTTATCTATGTTTAACTAGAAACACACACCAGCTTCAAGTTTAGTTTATCAACAAGGATCAGTACTTAATTCCACAGAGCCCAAAAAATTAAAGCAAAGTTATTAGCTTTTATTTGATTCAAAAATTATATCTATGATACATAATACATATGTAAGATGCCAGTTGAGCTCCTAGGAGACTGTATTTAATGGAATTTTATTCAGTATGATAGAATGTTTATATATATCATATAAACCCCAAAATTAACTCTCTTGACAACCCATGCATTATGTGGGTGCTATGCAGAAGAGGAATAACCAAGGCTGGAGAGACTGATAAAAGGGGTTAATCTCTGTATTTTTAAAAAGTTCTGTACAAATGAGCCAATCCAACCTGTTCTGACTGCACCCTTCCTTGGTTAAAGAGGAATTCCTGCAATGCAAAGCTTCAACACCCGTATTAAAACTAGAGAAAGGAAAGTAGTTCATATGTGTTTAAGTGAAAATGCATGGAAAAGGTGGTAAATGTCCAAGAGGGACAACCGTGAGGTTCAGCTCTTGAGGGACAACCACAAGATAGGAGCAGAAACTGATATCAAATAATACCAAGACAGATGTGCCTATAAAAGAAAAGTACTAAAATGCAAACCAGTGGACAGAAGGGCAGCAAATTCTGTCATGACTTGTTACTTATAAATTCTGTATGAGCATATGTAACCAACTTAACTTCATGAACAACCTAAAAATCACACATCTAGAAGAACATACTGATACCTATAGTTCTCTGGAACTTTTTCCATTTAAAGTTCAACTGAAATCTTCTTGTAGATTGCAGCAATAGTTAGCTGAAACAAGCATTTACTTTGGCTGTTAGCTTGCAATCTCTGATTTAATTAAATTAATAAATACTATTTAATGTTCTTGAAACTACCTTATGTATTATTCTATCAAAAATGCCACTGTACAAATGAGACAAAGAAATACTTACATTGCTCACGCAACACAAATCAACAAATTGGCTTATCTTATCTTCAACAAATCTCTCATAACACACAGAAAAAAATATAATCTGAAATAAATCAACCAAATTTTCTTTTGTTAGTTCATCAGATTTGACTTCACAGTTTAACACCCACAGATTACAGACTTCTGTAATGGCCACTAGTGCCAATAGAGTCTATGAAATGGGTTTGATATCTTTCCTCTAAGAAGTAAAATTGTAGCAATAATCTGCTTTTCATTTTGAACTTGGAGATCATAGAATGGTTTGGGTTGGAAAGGACCTTAAGGTCATCTAGTTCCAACCCCCCTGCCATGAGCAGGATGCTCCAAAGTTGTTTAAAACAAACCAAAGTAATTGCATAAATTCACATCTTTGAGAGGGTTAAAATTCTAGCTACAAACTATGATACCTCATAGCTCAGAAGATGCATTTTGAGTTCTAGGGGTGTCCCATGCTAAAGCAGCTAAAAGCCTAGATCAGGCAAAACAGTTTAGAATATACCCAGTGCTATGACACTTAGTATGGAGGGCCTAGTGATACATTCTAGCTTCCAAGATCCAGCTGGAAATGACATTTCAGTATGTGTGTGTTTCCCATACCTGTAGGCCAGCAATGGCTAACCAGACTGCAGCAGACACACCAAATCTTAAAACGCGGCTCCAAGGAGCTATGTAACTCTCACTGCTTCTTGCAAGACTGGAAGAAGAATCCATTAAAGCCAGGTTTGAAAATCCCACCACCTGGAGAGATTAAGAAGGCCAACGTAACAACATGAGGCAACAAGTAGTATTAATTATGACACTGTTCCATTATAACAGGAAGTATGAATTAAAAATTAGGAAAAATGGACCTGGGAATAGTAGCATGTTCACTATGTACAGCCCAACCGTGTGATCCAGTGCTATTACTGAGAAACATAATTAAAAACATAACTGTACCTATATGTGTTGATACATAAAATCAAAAACATACGCACCTAAGTCTCATGAGAACTCAACATTGATGTTTACTGAAAAACTTCAAAAGATTCTATTGTTGGACTGCACAGGGATATTATTTCTCCCAAATTTCAGCTTTTTGGTCCTGTATATTCCAGTGTTCAAACAAATTTTTTAGTCTGTTTTGCAACCGTGAGAAACTGATTTTTTGTTGTTTTGTTGAACAGAAATGTATTTCCGTCCACTGCCTTTATGGCTGAATCTATTTTAAACAAACAATCTAGAGGAAGTTCCCAAATAAAATAGAGAAGAGAAACACCATGTCTTGGAAGACTTAAGAGGTAAAAAATACATGAAAATTTTTCCAGAACCACAGCTACACAGAAACGTATTTGTGGTGGGTTCATCCCCACCACAGTGGGACTGGGAACAGGAAAAAGAAAAGCAAGAAAACTTGTGGGTCAAGATAAAGAAGTTTAAGAAGCAAGGAAAAGGGAAGAAGAAGGTGAAAAACGCTTCCACAACAAGCGATGCAAAGGCTCTATCAGTATCTCTGACAAGTAGACTGGTGCTCAGCCAGTCCCCAGAAAATCCCTCTCCTCTATTTTTACTGCTGAGCATGATGGTATATGGTATGGAACACTGTTTTGGTCAGTTGGGATGCTGGCTGTGGTCTCTTCCCAGCCTCTTGCACAGCCTCAGCCTGTTCCTTGGGGACCTCGGTGCTGTGCAAGCACTGTTCAGCAATAGCCAGTACATTAGTGTGTTGGCCCTGTTTTAGCCACAGCATCCTATGGACTGCTATGAAGAAAATTAACTCCACCCTGGCCAGACCCAGTACAGTATTGAAAAGCTCCATTCTGCTGCCAGAGTGCTACCTGCACCAACCACGTGGTCAGCACTGCCCCCGTGATAGTGCCAAACAGTGACTGCTTTGGTGCCAGACATGAGGCCTGTGGGGAGGGAGACTCCTTCTTCTATGCTTTCCAGCTTCCTCCAATTATTACTTTTCCTGGCTTGTTTTCTACTACCGTACAGCCTGTCAAAATGATTAATGAGAATGGAACAGTCACTTTATTAAAACTGCTAACCCAAGAAGACAGGCTTTGAGCATTACAGAAGTTCCCTCCTGTAGTGACCAGCTGATTGCTATATCTACTCCTGTGCTTTATACTTCTCTGGAAACAGCTCCAATCTTCAGCATGGCAATGAAAGTTATAAAGATTATCTGAGGTTTCCATAAACACTGATTTACCCTATTTAAAGATCTTTCATGACCTTCTCCACCATCAGTGGCAAGAAAGGGGTTCTCCAGAGGAGTTATAGAGTAAGATGTTAATCTCTCTGTACTGAAAGTAGCCTCTCCCTTCTGGTAATACCAGCAGCTTACACAGAGAAATATGAGATTAGTTTGGGGAATACATGCTCTTTTTTTTCTCATTCTTTCCTTGTAACGTGGCACCTAAGATGGTCCTGGCCTGTGTTTACCAGCAGCAAAACTACTGATGTAGTAACTGAGGAAAGCTTGGGTGTATTTACCATATTTAATTATAAAGAAAAATAGGCAATTAAAAAAAGAAATATAAAAATGTATTAGAAATATGTAAAAGAACCTAACATAAACAACTATATGCCACATGCTTTAAGAGTACTTCCCAAAGTAATAGTACTTCCCAAACTGCAGAAGAAACAAACCAATATGTTTTTGAAAAGCTAAAGCACAATTTTTCATCTATCCTTAAGCTGTAACTGAAGGCATACTTCCTTGTGTTATGCCATCAGGAAAAGAACTGGCACATTTCATTTCCTGCTCTACGAAAGGTCACTATAGTTCAGATAAATATATAACTTGAAATAAAGCTGTTGACTATTGCAGGAGAGAGCCAGTAAGCAAATAAAGAATTGAGTGTGTACACAGATTTATCAGTCTCTTAAGCCATTTAGAGTAACTCATTACCTTAAAAAAAACCCAAACAAAAGTAACAGAGGTCTCTAAGCTAATTAATGGGTGGGTTGGTTTTTTTCCCCCCAAGTGTTCCTTAATAAAATGTTGCAATGACCTATACATACAGATTTTAAAATGTATTAAAATAATTATTTTACTAAGTTACATGTTTTCAGGGGAACTTGAAGGTTACCCAGAGAGTGCAAGAGTTAAAAATCAGACCCTTATATTACACTCTGATTGTGAATTGTAAAAACTTAATAACAATAATACTAGTAATAACAATACCTCCAGAAAGAAAAGAACTGCAAACACTTGAAAGACAGGATTTATCTTCCTCACTGTCTGAATTTCATTCCATTCATTTGCTACAAAATAGGTCCTCCATATGCTCACAGGTGCAGCAGCACTTTTAATAACACCTTCACCTAAAAAGAATACATACAATCAAGCTCTGAAATTTAATAGCTGATATTATATCTGAACTTAACCAAAGCTGGTTATCCAAACAAGCAAAGTCTGAGTTACCTTCAACTCCTTTAACAACTCTGCTCTTAGGTCTTTCCCAGTCAATAAAGAAAATATCTATAGTAAGCTGTGAAACCAGCAGTTGTAAGAATTGCAGAGCCTAAGAAAGAAAAAGGAGAAATACAACAAGTAAGGACAGCAAAAGCATATAGACAAAGATGAAGAAACAGTCATTGCACAAGTCAATCATTAAACATAACAAGCAATATACTTGAAAATGCAACTTTGGAACCAACTTGTGATTTTTTAAATTTTTTTTTTAATGTAGAAGCTGGGAATAACGGTCATATGATGACACCAAAAATTCTAAAGAAAATACAGCAAAGTAACAAATTAAAAAAAGAAAAAGACTAAGTATTTCCCCATAACCTATTAACCTGTATTATGAATTCCAATGCAATATAATACCTATAATTAATAAAATACTTGTATATCCCATGGAGACAGAATACCAATTCCAGAATTCAATAAATAGGTTTGAACATAATTATTTTAATGTCTTCCTTTTAATCAGGAATTGACAGCACTTACGTTCTGCTTTAAAAGAAAGCGCTTGCTTGATATAGTATTACTTGGGTTTCTTTACATCTTTATCCTCAAAAAAGTAATTTTCCATAGATCATCTTCCTTAGACATTTGTTTCTATATAAAGACTCCACAAAACAAATTTCTATGGGAAAATGACTTAATTCTTAGAGTAAAATAATTGTTTACATCTATATACTAATAAAATGAACTCTACAAGATGTTCAAAAACAAGCCTACTGAAAATAGAGAGAAGCGTGTGTTGAAATGCCTTTAATGCCTGAGCAAAACCGTATTTACCTTTAAACTAAATGCACATGCTATGTAGGTAACAAAATCTTCTTCTTGAGATGGAAGTGGTAAAAGGACAGAGACAAACTGCTGACCCTATAATTGAGAAGTTGTATTAAAATAGAATGGATGGCATAAGTGACAACATACCAAGTGCTTAAAAGTTAGTAACATTTTGCAGAAAAAGATCAATATTTAATGTGCAATCATTTGGAATTTGTAATATTCTTGAAGTAACTATTGAGCACACTGCAAGTACAGTGAATCCTAAGGAAAAGAAACACGAGAACACAACAATTTAAGCACACAAACCAGAATATGATATAGAACTTGCCTCAATAGTCTGACCAGAAAAATAATTAAAAAAAAAAAAAGAAAGGAAAAAGAAAGAAAATTAATTCTTCTGTAAAGATGTATGCAATATTAATAGATTTTCATAGCCCCCAAATCTGGAAAAAACACTTACTTTGAAAAACACAAGCCAATAAATCCCTGTGCCCACTGTGATGATAAAGAAAACGTTGGCAAGGTCTCCAGCATAAAACAGTAAGAACTTCAAAACTGTCTGCAATTATAAAAACACACTGTAGAGATCTGTAAAACTGATCAAATAATGCATACGTACATTTACATAAAATGTCATGCAGCTCACACTACAGGAAACTCTACTGAAAAGAAGCCTTGAATAAACTTTCTACTGTGGTCATATATTCATGGTACATTCAGTATCTGAAACTCCTACATGCTGGTCTTTGTTCAAAGAAGAATTAATCTGAAAAGTTAAGTCCACTCAACGGATCAGAATAGTTCTGTAAATACCTTGATTTTTAGCAAAAGTGTTTCCTAAATGACAAAATCAGAATTCAAATTAAAAAAAAAAAGCAAAAAACCTACTTCCTCAGGTAAGCCTAACTCCAGGTCACATTTCTATGCAGCTAGGCTAGAAATTATTTCAGTTTCCTTAAGAAATAGAATAGTTTTATCACTGGGAATGATAGCAAAGGTCTCCTTAAAAAAAGGAAGATGTGTCCCTTTTTAGGTTGCCAGCTGTTTATACCTGCAAGTCTATTATAGAGCTTCCTGTACGCCTCTTCCAGCCCGCAGTCTTGAGAAGGGACCATAACACTGCGAGCCCACTCAACACACCCAACGTGATCTGAAGAGAATGAAAAGTTATCAGCAGATATTTTTAAAAACCACAAAACATAAGTAAATCATATTGATGAATTAAAGGGAAGCACAACTTACATCAGTCTGAACCTGAGCCTCTGACTGATTCATCTCATAACTGACTGAGAAGGAAACCTGAATATTAAGATACAAAAAGTAAATATGCATAGAAATTCTGAAATGCTACAACCATTATAGACAATGGCAGTTTTCACACTTTGAGTTGGTGGGAATTCCCATCTAGGGCTACTACAGAAGTACAACATCTATCTTCTTTTACTGTATACATCTGACCTATTGTACTACAACACCAAGCTTAGTACTATACTAGCATATGCTCTGCTATACTTAGTGCAGATTTTACCAACAGTGATGCTGGGGATTGATGCCTGCTACCTGCAAGTTATTAGCTGTACCTAATTATAATCCTTCCAAATGTGTGGGGTTTTTTTTCCTTCTGAAAGGAGACACCAAAGATTTGACACTTGCCCTTTCACTGGTATTGAGTAAAAGTAACTTCAACGTAACTACACCGATATGCAAAATCATAAAGTGAGGTCTACAGAGCTCAGACACCATTTTTTTCCAGCTTGACTGAAACAGAAATTGTCATGCAGCACCAAAATTGCTCCCTTTAGCTTAAATATCTATGTAACCTAAGACCTCTTTTGACTTGGGTTTGAAAAGTGCGATTAATAAATCAGTTCAATTAAGATAGCACAAAGGTCTCACCATCACACTCTGGGTTTCAGGGTTTTCGACAAGCACATCTGTGTAAGCAATAGTAATTAGAGGAGGGTAGATAGTTCCTCTCTGATTACGGGATGCCAGACGAATACTGCAGCAACATAAACAGAGTATTATTTTTAATACTGAAAATGGATGAGTTGCTTAGAAAGTATTATCTGAAATTGTACTAATAGGAAAATACTAAATGGACAGAGCAACCTGATCAATAAAATGAGAGTTACAAACCCAGTGACATGGCAATTCACATTTTAAAAGCAACAGGAGTGTACAAAGGCACAGACTTAAATATATAAAAAGCTGGGAAGGATTGTTTATTTGTAAGAAAATACCTGAATCAATCTTTACCTACTGCTCACATTACAATAGCCACAACTGAAGTAAATTCCAAAAGGTAACTTTTCTCAAAACATTACAGAATGACCTTTCCTATGTGTCTGTTGATTGTTTCAAAGGGGTGGGGTAGGAGGGTGTTTTCCTAAGATACATAAACTAATCCTTATTTTTTTAAATAATTTAATATGTAATTCTCAGCAAATGGGGTTAGTACATTAAATTAATCTTCAATATGATTACTTGTATGGATCAATACTCTGTGCTACTCAGCCATCGTTTTAACTAATAAGTTGTGAAGAAAAGCTGAAGAAAAAGGGAGATCTCAATTTTTAAGACTGCCATCTTAGAGAACAATGTTACATGAAGAAGGAGAAAAAAAGATTCTTCCAAAACATATTCCAGCTGAGATTAACCATCGGTAACGACCCTAACAGGTAGTCTCACAATTTCAGTTAAAGGACTATGAGCCTATTCTGGATTGTACAACAGAATATGCAACGGTTTGTAAAAAAACAATACAGAGTATGAAGGAGTATCCTTGTATAGAGTCAGAAACATACACGTTGAAAAAGAATTAACAGGAGCTTTCAGGTCTTTCCAGATGAATGAATGCCTGCTAACTTGCATTATGCATACATAGACCGATCCATCATACCTGGAAAGTCATCACAGTAATTTTAATCCCCACAAGTCAATGCTGTGTTTTCTAACCCACTTGTCAGAACAACCTATGGAAACTCTTGCTACTTCCAAGTATACAATGGAAAAAGCAGCACATGACAGATTAGAAACAACATAATAAACCAACTTTCTTTTAAGACTGCACAAAATCTACTGTATTTTCCATGTACTATGTATTATATGCAACTAATCACCTTATTGTTATTTTGCTAGCAATCCGAAGTACTCTTGGTAGTTTTCCCAAATCATTTTCTTTTCCACTTAGCGCATCCACCAAAAAAAATCGACGAGTCAGAAGCCAGTTGTTCATATTACTGCCTTTAAAAAAAACATAACAGTCCCATATTATGTAAGAAACTAATTCAACACACAAAGGGAATGAAATCTACTAGAAAGCACGCATGTAACTGTATAATACATCTAACTGTATCCAGGAGACAATACTATTTATTTTCAACTTAAATAAATACATAATGAAATCAATTGATTGCGCTGGTGTTTGCAACCAAAGTTTGCACTTAACAGTATGAGAACCTGCCTACAAAATATTAAATTCTTACAACAGAAACAAGTTATGATGTGTTGTGGTATCTTTAAAGACAACTCACTAACAGTACTTAATACAAATTCTTTCTATCTTAAGTTATTCAAAAGCTATTTAAATTCACAGAAATGTACTACAACAGTCTTACCTTGATTAACAAACATTTCACTGTACTGAAGATTCAAATTTAAAACTGGCACGTCCCAAAGATATTGTTGTCCATTCTCATCATTATATTCAAGGAATAGGTCATAAAAAACTGGATTAGCAAAATCCAATAAAATCTTGGAAAGTGAAATTTTGCACTGTAAGAAAAAAACATTAAAATAAAAATACCACTTTAGCCATTTAATGATTTTATCAAGTTGTGGATTCTTCCCCTACAAAATCATTGCAGAATCTGTCCCACTTCTTCACAAGAGAAGGCATTCCAGCTACTTGCAAGCAATTACAAAATCCTAACAATTTTTGTACAAACCCCTTGGTAATTATCAGAATGACTAGAATGGCTGACGTGGAGAAGGAAGCTCTGCTAACATTTTTCAACACATTAGAAAAAAATTCCTAGCAAATTTCACAGACATAAAATTTGAAACAGCATAAACACTGAAGTCAAGAAGTATGAACACTGGAGTTGTGGGCTCACTAGTACAGGAGCGAAAGTACAAGAACCAGTACAAGAGCGAAATGGAGCTACTTGATAAGAGTCCAGCACAGGCCACTAGGATGATGCAGCAACTGGAGCACCTACCTCTCTTATGAAGAAAGGCTGGGAGAGCTAGGGCTGTTCTGCCTGGAGATGAGAAGGCTCAGGTGGGAACTTCTCAATGTGTACAAACACCAGAAGGGAGGGCGCAGTAAACAGGGCCAGGCTCTTTTTGGTGGGGCCCAGCGACAGGACCCAAGGCAATGGGCACCAACCAAAACAGGAAGTTCCCTCTAAGCATCAGGAGACATTTTTGCACTGTGAGTGAGGGTCACCAATCACTGGGGCAGCTTTCCCACACAGGCTGTCAGAACCATGTCTGTGGCTAGTTGAATTTAGCATCTAAGTATATACAAGCTCACTAATACAAATGCCAGTTCAATTAATTTTGATTATTTTATGCAGTAAACAAGTTTTGTGATGTACACAAATAATTTTTAAACACTACATTTATTTCAGTCAATAATAAAGAAATTAAAATAAGCAACAATTTCACAAGGAAGAAATCTACGTTGCAGCTTATGGCTAAAGTCCAGAGGTCCTTCAACATGCACTGAATTACCAACGATGTATAAAAAACCTTAATCCAAAATGCAGAATAGCATTTTATCTCTTACTTACACTTTGTTGGTAAGTTGTTCCAAATGCATAAGCTGCATTCAATTTAGTTTGGGTATCAGGACAAAGCTGAAGAAAACATAATTATAATTAGGTTAAATCAAAGGTATAATTTTCTTTCATGAAAAGTATTTACAGGTACCCCAAGCTGTTTATGTATTCACAGTTCAAACAAAAGACATTTTGGTCAATTTTTTTTAAGAAGAGAGGGATTAATCTTGAAGACTAAACACAATTCTTCATTGTACTAATATTGGTGTTCTTAAAATGCTGCTTTAGCTTTTAAATACTTGCATAGTGTTTTTGAGTTCCATCACTGAAGTTGAGACCTGTGGAAGCAGCATCCAACCAGACAAGAATAATCTTTCCGGGGACTGAATGTTCAATGCACTGTGCTGCCTAAAGCTTTATTAGTGACTTCTGCTAAAGCTAAAAATCACATGAAAAAAGAATTCCACCTTCATATTACCCCTTTCCTCTTAAGCTGACATTCTCAGAGGACCAAAGTTATCACGACAACCAATAGGTTTTTTTTTCCCCTTTTTCAATGTAACTTTTAAATTTGCTGCAAAGAACAAGTCATTCTAAGCAGAACCCAGAAAAATGGGCCAAATTTTACCTAAATGGGCACTTAGTGCAGGGCATAGCCACTTTCTCCAAATGAAAATCAAGTCAAAATTTACATAATCACAATTCTGCTAGTGTGCAACTGAAATTCTGTGAATTGCTACAATTATGCACTGAGATTGCTTCAGCACTGCGATGTCTTATCATCACACTATCTATTATTTCGAAAGAGCCCTTAAACAGAAAAGTTATTAATTTCCCATTGATTTTTGATAGCTACTGAATGGCCTGCATTTAGGAAATTAATGTGTCCCAAGAAACCTTAAAATCTATGTCAGAATATGTAGTTTTCTATGCACACTAACTGACTTAGTAATCTTTTTTCTCAGACACTAGTTTTCTTTAAAATTTGAGAGGCAGATGCAGGAGAGTTCATCCTGGGACAGTAACAAAAGAAACAGCAGCCACTATCTAAATCCTGAATGTCAGCTGCTCATCTGTAGATACTGGAGCATTTGAAGTGACATGCTCAAAGAGAGACATGAAGAGCCTAGAAAAGAGGACAGACAATTTCCAATTGTTCTTGCTAATGTTCCTATTGTTGCCTGCTTAGGGAATTACTGACAGTGCCTAGATTGCCACTGGACTGCTAAACAAATTCTTCTCTGTAACATGTTTGCAGCTGCCAATTTCTGCTGTTACTCTAATTATTACTGCACCTTCTAACTTGCTTATTTGCGTTTTTCACACCCTATCTATACAGCAGGTACTGCCGAAGCACAATGTGTGTGTGCGCCAGTGAAATGAGAGTAAAGTATGTACTTTGACTTTTCTAGCCAGTGTTTACTATTCTATGTAAAGTATCCCAGCAGATTTTTATAACTTTGTTATGAAAAAGGCAGGCAGATGCTGCCCAAAGTGTTCATTTTATATAAAAAACCCCAAAGGAAATTAGCAAACAAAAAATCCCAAGAGAACTGAAAAAAAAAAAATGGGGTGGTAGATCAGTTTTCCTACCTCTTTTGACAGTGACATAACCACTGATTTGCTTGGCAAGCCCATAATCTGTGAAAACAGGTGACAGCATCTAACAGGGACATACTCAGTATCATCTATAAACACCTGTGGACTGAGAGCTAACAAATACACTTTTCTCCACAAGAAAAAGAGAAGTAATAATACATGGGTAACTGTATACTGAATGGAAGAAAGAGATTGTTAGTTCTAAAGGACTACTGATGGTTTTCAGAGCTTTCCAATCTGCCAAATTTATAATGGTGCAATAGATGAAGGCAATGTTGCTGAATATATACTTTTGATAATCATTGTGAGCAAGAATCAAGGGCTATTTTCCCTCATCTAGCTCTACAGTTATGAACTGTCACTAGTGTAGTAACCAGAATCTTGGCTTTTGTCTCAATTTGTCTAAAGGCAACCAGAATGTTATGGTATCAACAAAAGATAATTTAAATCAAACATACCTGTAAGATGCCTCCTTCCAAACTTTGCCATTTATGAAAGTTTCCTGCAGCATCAAAGGAGGCTGCAATAAATTGCAGCTTTACATCCTGATGATGAAAAATGATACACAAACAATGAAACTGACATAAAGTGGACATAAATATGTTAGGGACTGTTGTCTCATGGTTTGATGCTTCCCTAAAACTTTCAGCACAATGCTGCATTTTTCTCTCCCCTTTGATTTTGTTTTTTAATCTTGCTTTTGGTGGTTTACTTTTTAAAAAAACCCACACTTTACCATTCTTCTTCAGTTTCACTGGTGACATGGAAAAAGTTCCAAAGGAATGTCTACACAGGTAAACATGCCCTAAACTAATCAGAAATCTATGCAGACTTCTAATGTATACCACGCTGGGATCTTGAGCGCTTCCAGGAATTTCAGTGTTAGGAAGAACAGTAAGTATTTTAGTTGTTAGAACAACTGCTGCATTGCAATATTCTTTAGTTTAAAACACAACCTTTTAGAATATGGCTAAAAAAAGCCTTATTATTTTATTTTTGAGACAGTAAGAAAACTTAAGATAAATTTGGCGGTGTAACTGACAAACAGGTTACCACTAGCACTACTTACTTGCTGTGATTAGCTTAACTTGAATAAACCATTCCAGTTATTCTATTTTTACAACTAATCTGTAAAATAAAACACTTAACTATTTGATTTACTGTTTTATTTCTTCTTAAAACTGTGCCAGTTAACAAGCTACTTAAGCAGTTCATCCCTCCAAGGGATGGATACCTGCCTTTGTTAACATTGAAATGATTGTTTTTCCTCACCTCTTTTTGTTTTCTTTTTTTCCACCTAATTCACTGTAGGACGAGGAAAAGGCTGGAGTAACAGACTGAATCCGTCTCTGACACAACTCAGCTTGTAGAGATTTGTAACAGTAATATTTCTATTAATTCGTATTTATTATTTTTAACCATAATATTTTTTAATTTAAATGCACATCTTGGCATTATGAGAATGTGAGTATGAGAGCATGAGCAAAGCAAATGTGTGAGTGAATGAGTGCAAGTCAGCAAAATCATCTCACCTAGAGATTTTTCACATAAATATTGCCTTCCTCTTCCCTAAGATCTCACACTGAGTTTTGCTACACGAACTGCCTAAAAATTACCTTCAGTAGAGCCACATGTGTAACAAATCTAAACCTCTTTATGTGATTATGTCCTCTTCCTAACGTCTCCTTCCCCATGTCTACTACCCAACACCTACCTTATCTGTTCCTTTAAAACTGTTTATTTGCCTCAAGGACTTGGGATGCTAATCCCGGCCGATCACCGTAATATAGCCATGGAAGATTATGCCTCCTGAAAATAATTAAAATGTTTTCTCTGAAGAAACATAATGTTCTGCATCAAAGAACATTTAGAATAATAATTTCTATAAATACTGTTAAAGACCCAAAGTTATGGAAAAGGCAACTTACCAGAAGGCTATTGAATGAGCAACACCCAGCCTTGCTGTATTGATATAAATATACTGAAATAAACCACAGGCATCAGTACTTGAATAACTCAGTGAGTTCATGTTCATCACACACATATTTCCAAGAGCTTGGCATGCTGTTAGATTAGAGTACAACTGCAGTGGAGAAACACAAGAACACAGAAAAGTATTTAACCCTTCCTTCAGTGAAGCAGTCATAAAATTAATGTTGTCTTTAAGAAGCCACTCCTAAACCTTCATTCTTACTTGTGTCCTGGGTTCAGCTACATCAGTCATTTTTCTCCTTCTTAGTAGCTGGTGCAGTGCTGTGGTTTTGACTTTCAGTCTGGGAACAATGCTGATAACACCGATGTTTTTAGTTGTTGCTCAGTAATGTTTACTCTGACCAAGGACTTTCTCAGTCTCATGCTCTGCCAGGGAGGAGGGGAAGCCAGAAGGAAGCAGAGACAGGACACCTGACCCAAACTGGCCAAAGGGGTATTCCATACCACAGCACGTCATGCCCAGTATATAAACTGGGGGGAGTTACCCGGAAGGCCCAGATCACTGCTTGGGTCGGGCTGGGTATCGGTCAGCGGGTGGTGAGCGGTTGTGTCCTCTCCCCTTGTTATTCCTCTTATCATTATTATTGGTAGCAGTAGTGGTTTGTATTATACCTTAGTTACTGGAGTGCTGTTATCTCAACTCGTGGGAGTTACATTCCTTCGATTCTCCTCCCCATCCCTCCGGGAGCGGGGGGAGGAAGGAAGAGGGGGGAGGTGAGCGAGCGGCTGTGTGGTTCCAAGTTGCCGGCTGGGCTTAAACCACGACACAGAGAGAATGCCTACCAGCCTGGGAACTGCTATGCTGGGAATTAGGCCTGGGAATCAGAAACATCCTTGGGAAGTGCAGCTGGGTACCTAAATACCAGAGACATCCTGAGATACCACTGATAAGCACAAAAACAATGAACTGTAACAGCAACTTATTAGCTAGAAAGCTGAGAAATAGTTTGGAAAAGAGGGGAAACATTCTAAGAAAGTAGAAATCAGTAATTGCTATTGACTGTTCTAGCTGGAAGAGTAGAGAAACAGTCTGGAAAAATAAAAACTGGTCTGAGAATATGAAACATCGGCTGCTCCAGGTGGTGTTGTCCTACACCACATAAGGTATAAAAATGCGATATAAATGTGACCTTTAACCCAAAATGGAGAGTTAATCTGTCCCTGTCTGTCTGTCTCACTCACACAAACACACATATACAAAGAATGCTGCCTGCACAAACTGTTCTATGAAGTTTATCAGTGCCTCATAAACTCTCAGCAGCTTAACAGACCATTGCTGGGGATGCCTGGCTGACTGCAGACTGCAACACAAATCATCTTTGAAGTGAGACTTCATCTGTCATTGATTTCAAGGCCCCACTCCTGGGAGTGGATTGGTGAGCATGTACTGGTACTATCTTGAATAATACATATACGTAGGTACACATAGAGCTAATTGATCATAAATGTATTTGCTGCTTTACTAGCAATACTTTTGTGGTAACTTGTAATATTGAAATACATGCTTGCTGCTACTACTGATTGCTGCTCCCATTGGAATACATATATACTTGCTTTATTAATCGTAAGTACACTCATTTTATTACAAGTAATTTGTAATAATCTGTAATATGGAAACATAGGAAATAAAGACTTTGTATGCTTTTGTATTATGGAATTCTGCAAATCCACTGTTTTGATGTTTATACACCTGTAAGTCAGGTAACCCTTTGGGTCATGATGTACTGGGAGAAAAAGTACGGCCTAAGAAGTTAAAATCTGATTTTGCAGAGAGAAATACAGATGAAAAATAGGCATGTGTGATAACAGTTGGTAAAAAGGAGGCAGAGGGAGGCATATCCCCTTCAGAAGTGTGCATGATTCTGTTGCTGCAACCACTCTTCTAACCCCTGGTTACCACCACCCAGAGCAACATAATGATAAATAACACTTGCATACAAAAAGCAAAGCAAAGCTAGAAAGGATGGTCGTATGGTTGTCCTCCATCACAAACCAAAATGACTAACCAAAAGCCAAGTAAGAGGTAAAGACTAGCAGCCAATTGTGAGAGACTGATCTGAAATCAGACTCCACTGTCCATTATCTCAAAGATTGGTATGAGAAGCTGAGATGGAATTCCACCAATCCATTGTCTCAGAGATGGGTGGGAGGAGTTGAGGTAAGACTCCAATACCCATTGCCGGGGAGAAGGGTGTGAGGAGCTGAACTGGGACTTCACCATCCATTGCCTGAGGGATGAGTGAGAAAGAGCTGAGATAAGACTCTTCCTTCCATTATCTCGAGGATTGGTGTGAGGAATTGCTGCCCATCACCCCAAGAATTGCTGCAGACTCCTGTAGTTGAAGAGCTGGCTGCAAGACCAGGGAAACTGGACCACCAGGAACATGTAATACATGACAGCAAGAACAGAGGTGCTCCCCTCAACTCATTATAGAAAGGGGAAAAGGTAATCACGAAAAGGAGCCATTGCCATGAGGATGACTCCAGAAATACACTGCCACGAGGACACCCACCTCCGATGGCTACTACGGGCTCTTGGGGGACACTCTGCTCTGATACCGACTATGAACCCTGAAGGACTCCCACCACCTCTGACAGTGGATTCCCAGGACACCGCTGGATCCACGGTGGTGACTCTCTCTCTCTGCGCCCCGAATTATTCCTTCATTTTCTATCTTTTTTCCAATTTGTCCTATATTACAATAATTTCCCTTTTTTATAATAATTGTCTTCTGTCAGTAAACCACCTAATCGATTACAGTACCTGACCTTGTTTGCGTCTTAATTTCACTCTTGGGATCACGAACTGAAACAGCGTCCAACACTGCTGTTTTCTCCAGTCGGACCCTGACACCAATCAACACTGGATATGTAAGAAGTTAATTTTCTGAGTGATCACTTACTGGATATATTCAATGACAGTTCACGTACCTACTGACTATAGAATCAAAGAATCATAGAATAGTTAGGGTTGGAAAGAACCTTAAGATCATCTAGTTCCAACCCCTCTGCCATAAGCAGGGACACCACACACTAAACCATGTCACCCAAGGCTCTGTCCAACCTGGCCTTGAACACCTCCAGGGTTGAAGCATTCACAGGCTCCTTGGGCAATGTGTTCAGTGCCTCACTACCCTCACTGGAAAGAACT